CAAAATTTAGCTTTTAGGGCACTACACACCCATTTTCTATTTCAACTTTTAATTGTTGCTCTATCTGTAATTACCTTCTCTTTGTACAAACAATGTCAAAAATATCTCGCGGATTTATTTAATCATTTTTTTCGAGAATTTTCAAAAAAAATTCTAAAACAAAAATGTTAGACACACAATTTTGTAATTCTGAGCATCTATAAACATTCCCTGCAGGGGTCAAGTGATTTGCTTAAAAATTTGAGCTTGAATTGATGAACAAAGACGACATTCTTTTCAGAGTTTTCTGGTTCTCACTGTAAGATGAACAAATGAAATGCTGTTCATACAGGATGAAAGGTTGTTTTGACGAATGCTGATCTGAAACCAGAGCATCAAACACAGTCAATCAGTGCATAGAGTATGCAAACAACAAGAGCCAACACGGTATGGATTTTGAAGGAACGGATTCTGTGGAAATATAGTAACCCTCCCCCTTCCTCCCTATAGTAGATAGATACAGGGATAGGATGTAGAATCTTAGTTAATTCAATAAAAATTGTAATCATACTGTGATTTTCACTGCTTACATCTACACAGTCCACACTTTGACGGATATAGAAGTGGCCAAAGTATCTCTATCGTCCCAAGAAATTTAATAGTTTGAAAAGTCTTCCAACTTTAATGTGTTATATGTGTGTATAAGGTGGAGTCCGATTGTCATGATTATCACTCGCAAGTCGGTAGCAAGCAGTAATTAATCTTTGTTTTAATCCTTTGAAACTCAACTTTCAACTAGTCTGTTTGCAATATTTGTAAACTTTTTTATTAAGATATTGTGAAGATTATATATTTACTGATATTCTTAGGATATAAATATATTACAAATTCTATAAATATGTTGAGAATTAAGCTTGAAGATCTTCTCTTCTTCCTGGTTCTAATCAGACTGGCTCCTGGATTCTCTTTTCATCCTTCCCGGATTTTTATCCTTCCATCTCTTGTGGATTCTTAGTTTGTGATCTCTACAATATCACAATTTTTAACAAATCTACATATATCATATAAACAATCCGATAGAAAAAGGTTGAGCAACATTGTGCAAAAAGGTTTCATGTGATTATTTATATCACGGATGATTTATAAACCTGGAGAAAGAGAAAAGAAAGCAGTTCAGAAGGACGCATCTAACCCATCGTGGTCTGAAAGACAAGACCAATTATTTAAAATAAGATGGCTAGACTTTTTAGCATTTAAACATAGTTCAAGTATTGGCTAGACTTTTCAGCATTTATGAAACTTGTTTATAGTTTTAAACAATTTTCCATCATTCTTTCAATCATAAAATTACACTCAAATTCAAGATATAAAATAGGCCTGTAAAATGTTTTTACATTAAAATCTCAGATTAAATAAAACATTTTGAACAATAAGAGAAACTGTAGGTTCGATGTATTTGTAGAGATTGGATTAGTAGATTGAAGATGGGATTTTTCTGTAGAACAACCTCGAGAATATCTCGAGTTTGAACACCTTGAACACATGCATTGTAGTTTATAAAGATCAACAGATCTTACACAGAATACTTAATTTAAACTTGGGATCGTCACATTTGAAGAGTTTTGAATAAGTTTTTTATGTTTGTTAGCTTTGACGATAAATTAATCACAGTCCAGTCGGTGCGAATTATACTTGAAATGTTTGAGAAAAATATTTCGCTTTGATCGTGCAGAAAACGTGCTATAGGTTGACTATACAATTACACTTTTAATTATAGTATGGTGAATTAGCATAGCTAATCAAACTCATCTGTTGGAAAAAAAAACGCCTGATATGGCCATTCTGATAATAAATACATACTCCGTGAATTCTCACAGTATGGCTACTCCGTGAACATATTCACACTCTGTGATTTCGACCTATTGACTTAGAAGACAATTATCCCTTCTAAGCTATGATCTATTACCTTCTTTGTGAACCTCTCAATATATTGTATACAGGGGGACTAAACCAGATATAAACTGGATATGCAGGGCGCTTCACGCCACATACTCCTCTCAATATATTGTATACAGGGGGGACTAAACCAGATATAAACTGGATATGCAGGGCGCTTCACGCCACATACTCCTCTCAATATATTGTATACAGGGGGGACTAAACCAGATATAAACTGGATATGCAGGGCGCTTCACGCCACACACTCATCTCAATATATTGTATATAGGGGGGACTAAACCAGATATAAAACCCCTTTTTTGAATATCTCTGTTTATTTAGACTCCATGTTTGAATATCTCTGTTTATTTGGACTCCATGATTGAATAACCCTGTTTATTTGAACCACCTGTTTGAATATTTCTGTTTATTTGAACCCCCTATTTATATATCCCTGTTTATTTGAAACCTCTGTGTGGATATCCCTGTTAATTTGAACCCCCTGTTTAAATATTCCTGTTTATTTGGACTCCAGGCCATGTTTAAATATCTCTGTTTATTTGAACCCATTTTTTAAATTTCCTTGTTTATTTGGACCCCCTGTTTGAATATCCTTGTTTATTTGAACCCCCTGTTTGAATATCCTTGTTTATTTGAACCCCCTGTTTGAATATCCCTGTTTAGTGGACCCCCTGTTTGAATATCCCTGTTTAGTGGACCCCCTTGTTTAAATATCCCTGTTTATTTGAACCCCCTGTTTGAATATCCCTGTTTATTTGAACCCCCTGTTTGAATATCCCTGTTTATTTGGACTTCATGTTTGAATATCCCTGTTTATTTGAACCCCCTGTTTGAATATCCCTGTTTATTTGAACCCCCTGTTTGAATATCCCTGGTTTATTTGAACCCTCTGTTTGCATATCCCTGTTTAGTAGACCCCACTGTTTGAATATCCCTGTTTATTTGAACCCTCTGTTTGAATATCCCTGTTTATTTAAACCCCTGTATGAATATCCCTGTTTATTTGAACCCCCTGTTTGAATATCCCTGTTTATTTGGACTTCATGTTTGAATATCCCTGTTTATTTGAACCCTCTGTTTAAATATCCCTGTTTATTTGAACCCCCTGTTTGAATTTCCCTGTTTAGTGGACCCCCTTGTTTAAATATCCCTGGTTTAAAGATGTATTTCCATGTCAATACTGGTTGAAATTATGATGAATATATGCAATTCTTCATTCTTCATTCTACCTAATCATTAATATTCAGTATTCACTGTAAGTACAGAACTAATAGTTGAACTCATCCTAGTGTTCAGTCTTCAGATAACATTATTCAACTCAACTTCATTAAACTGGGTTACTAAAAAAAACTAAAAAAAACTCACTTTTATGTGCGAGATGTGCGAGATGAATTTGTGACCTCCGACATTTATATGTAATTTAAATTGTTGTCAGGGAAATAATTTTCCCAGAAGCTTGAAAAATAAATGAGTTCCAATACATATCTACCCTCCCCCCCCCCC